ATTTGAGAGAGAGAGAGAGAGAGAGAGAGAGAGAGAGAGAGAGTGTGGTGTGTGTGTGTGGCCAGCTCAGCCCACCAGGGGGGGGGGCTGACTGGCATGTGGTGCTGGGGAATTGAACCGCGGTCCCTGATGCTTTGCCAAGCTTGTTCTAAGTAGGTGCTTTAGACCACTGAGCCATCTCTCCAGCACCCCCTGCCCCATTTTTAAGTACCAGAAATCCAACTACTGGCAGTTCTCTCTTTGGCTTCTCCAGAGCCCGTATGCTTTTTGGCCCTAGCAAACCCATATCCTCAAGCTGTACACCTGATGTGCGAACACCGATGTATGCTCGTGCAGGGTACTGGCTCTAATCACTTCTCTCCCCTGTTGCATGCACTTGAGAAGCGAGCCCACTGCCCACTTTTCCTGCCAGGTGTCTTTGTTCAGGTGCCAAATGTGAGACTTTTTTGATCTCTCAGTGGCCCTGGGGAAAAACCGGTGATAGGAATGAGGAAAAGGTAGGTAGTATCTGGGAGTTCTTTTCTCTCCTGAGCTGAGAAGAACTGCCCAAGAATTTATTTATCTATCCATTTATTTATTCCCTCCAGAGGTTGGTGTCTGTTTCAACCTCTACCCAGCAGCAGCAGCTTGTTCACAGGCTTCCAGAAGCTCCCGTGCTCTTGGGCGGGCTGCGAACTCCACTCATGATTAACTTCCAGCATCAGCCCCCCCCCCCCCCCCCCAGAGAGCACTTGCGAGGATCCATGGGGCCCTGGGCTCCATCCATATACTGCAACACACACACACAGCCTTTAGCCTTTGCATGGACTCCAGATGGTACCATCAGAATCTTATTCTAATCATAATCTGCCTTGTGCCTGTGATCTAAGTTTATCATTCAGGACACGATGTCTGGCTGGATATGCTGGTGCATGCATGCCTGGCATCCCAGCACTTTGGGAGGCTGAGGCAGGAGGGTGGCCAGGTTTGAGCCTTAGTTCCTTGGCGAGATCCTGTCTGAGATTTAAAAAGGGAAATGGGCTGAGAATGTAGCTGACTGCATAGGCCCTAGGTCAACTCCCGAGTTCTGAACAGAATTTAGACTACAACATGCATATGTGTTGTGCTGCCTGGCAGCAGGTGCTGCCCTGCCACCCAGTGCTGAGGCCTGCAGGCGCCCTCTGCTCTCCTCTAGCAGTGGAGCCGTCTGGGGCATGCCTGGGCCAGCGGAGGATACCTGCAGGACTGAGAGCCAGGCCTCGGGGACACTGGTGATGGCAGGCCTGCCCCCTCTTTTTATTTTAGGGCAGGGTCTACAGGGCACTCAGGGTCTCACTACTAGATCAGACTCGTAGTGATTCGTCTGTGTACAGCCTCCCAAGCGCTGGGATTACAGGCACTGTGCCCCCTCTTAATGTGGGGCACACGTGGGGGCCAGAGAAGCAAGCAGAGCTGTGTCTCTGGTCAGCACCACGGGTTAGGAGATCTGTCCCTGGGGCCGGGGAGACAGGTCAGTGCAATAAGCGCTTGCCTGGAAAGCGCAGGGGCCTGAGTTCAATCCCTGGTTCCGCAAAAAAAAAAAAAAAAATTTGTCCCCATGCCTAGTGGCCGTGGGCAGGGAAGGACACTGACAACACCATATTCTTTGCAGGACCTGACATCTGTGGATTCGATCTCATGAAAGTTCATGTTATTTTACAATTCAAGAACGAGTATCACGCAAACAAAAAATTCATCAAGTGTAAGGTAACTGCTCTCAGCTCAGATGGGGTGTGTTTGGTCTTGTCTTTTTGGTGGCTGGCTCAGCCTGCCCTGGGGGCAGGGCTGACAAGGCATGTGGTGCCAGGGATGGAACTGCAGTCCCTGCGCACTTGCGTAAGCAGGCGCTTTAGACCACTGAGCTATCTCGCGGGCCCCATATTTTGTCTTTTTGAGACAGGGTCTCGTTCCTTAGTTCAGGCTGGCCTTGAGCTCACTTTGTATCTCAGACTGGTCTTGAACTCACAGTGATCCTCCTGCGCTTAGCCTGCCCGCGCTGGGATTGTAGGCCACCATGCCCAGCCATTGCCATTGTTTTAAGATGGGGTTTCACTGTGCAGCTCAGGCTGGCCTTGAGCTCACTTTGTAACCCAGGCTGGCCTTGAACTTGCAACAGGGTGGGAGGATTACAGGGTGTGCCATTGTACCTGGAACAGAGCAACATTTACAATCAGCAGGTCCGGGGCTGGTGAGATGGCTCAGTGGTCTAAAGCACCTACTTAGAACAAGCTAAGCGAAAGCACAGGGCACAGGGACCACGGTTCAATCCCCCAGCACCACATGCCAGCCAGCCCCGCCCCCTGCTGGGCTGAGCTGGCCACACACACACACACACACACACACACACACACACACACACATAAATAAATAAAATTTAAAAAAAAAACAATCAGCAGGTCCCCCTTTGCATGCTGCAGGGCGCCTGATGCCCCCAGGGAGGACAGCGACCACATGCTCTGCTCCTCTCTCCTGGCACTCAGCTTGTCTGTGCAGCTGCAGGGCTGGGAAGGAGAGGCAGGGCTGAGCTGGCATAGAGTCCTGGAGGTCAGCAAGCTGGCGACTATGCCAGCCTGGGGCACCTCCACAGGCTGTGGGACTTGAGGGGACAGGTCAGGTTACCTGCAGGTGGCAGCCGACTGGGAAAGTTTCATGGGATAGGATCACACCTGCCTGTTAGCAAAAGCTGTCTGGGTGGGCACAGTGGCACACGCCTGTCATTCCAGCACCTGAGAGGCTGAGGCTAGAGAGTGGAGAATTTAAGGCCAGCCTACACTGCATAGCGAGACCCTGGCTCCAAACAACTAACACAGCAGTCTTGGCTGGAGCAGCGGGAGGTGGGGCCTGAAGGCCGAGCTGGCAGGGCGGGTATCCTCTGCTGTGTGCGCCACCCTAGCGCGTGGGCCACAGGGTCTCTGCTCAGCACTGCAGCAAGAAGGCAGAAGGCAGCAGGGGAGTCACTTGGGCCTCACGTGAGGCCAGGGACGCAGAGGGTGGCTGTGTAAGGTCACTGAGCATTGTGAGGGGACCCCGGGCTGGAAGGGCTCAGCAGACTCCGGCTAGTTTGGAGCAGCTAATGTGACGTCCCCACAGGCGTCCTGGCAGAAGTTATGGAAACTAAGTCTGAAGCTCAGGCCTGTGGCTGGGACAGCAGGCACAGGGGTTGGCAGCACCTGCCCACATGTGGGAGAGGCCGTCCCCACCCAGGAGGCCACTGATGGGGTCCTGGCAGTGTCAACAACCTGGGAAGATGAAGCCCAAAGTGTAAAAGAAGAAAGAACAAGCTGGACACACTCCAGATGGGGAGGCTGAGGCAGGAGAATAGCAAGTTCAATCCCAGCCTGGGCAACTTAGTGACTTAGGGAGACCCCCTATCAGAATAAAAAGTAATAGAAGGGTCAGGGATTCAGATCAGTATGAAAGCCTCAGGTTCAGCCCCCAGCATTGCAAGTTGAAAAAAAAAAACCAACAGCCAGGAGTGGTGGCGCATGCCAGTCATCCCAGAACTCTTGGGAGGCAGAAGCAGGAGGATCACTGTCAGTTTGTGGCCATCCTGGGCTACATAGCAAGACTTGCCTCAAAAAACAAAACAAAGAAGAAAAAAGAAGAGGGAGAGGGAGGTATAGAGAAAGGCAGGAGTTAGGAAAGCACGCTCAGTCATGCCAGCTTGAAGGGCCAAAGGCAGGGTGCCCCTACAGGGAACTGTGACAGCAGCAGCAGAGGGCCCAGGAGAAGCACCGGCCACCGCTCCCAGAGCTGGCCCACCTCCACTCCCCAAGGACAGGAAGCTTTTGCTGGTCCTGTCGGCGTCCTGTTCAGCAGTCTGGGCTGGGGGTTGGGGGTTAGGCTCTGTTGAGCGCCTTCTTATCCCAGGCCCTAGCTGCCCCAGGCCTGGCAGAGGCTCCTGCCTGCCTGCTCTGCACCCTGGTCAGCTCCCGCCAGTGCTGAGAAAAGACTGTGCTCAGAAGGGAGGTCACCTGTTGCTCTTGGTTTTGTTTGGGTTTTTGTGTGTGTGTGAAACAGGGTCTCACTACATAGCCTCCACTGGCCTCAGACTTGCAGCAGACCCTCCTGCCTTGGCCTCCCAAGTGCTGGGATTGCAGCCACATGCCACTGTGCCCAGCTTCTCTTCCTGTTTTTCCATGAGGATCCTGTATGTATAGACCACATGGACCTGGTGAGGGTTTCACCATGCACCTCTCCCCTCCCCTCTGCCATGCAGGTCGATGGTTTCACACACCTCTACACTCTGATCCTGAGGCCAGATCTCACGTATGAAGTGAAGATTGACGGGCAGTCCATTGAGCTGGGCAGCATCGAGAATGATTGGCACTTGGCATCACTCAGGAAGACAGAGCAGGCGGCCACAGCTCCAGGCTTGGACCCAGGGAAAGCTGGGACAGCCCAGGTGCGTGACTTGGGGTCAGGCTCACACACCCATGCTGTTGCACCTGCAAGAAAGGTGGTCACAGTCTTGTGATGGGCTGCCCCTCCGGAGCACCTGTGCTGAGCCCAGCCACCCAGTAGCACATGGCGAGGGCTGCAGCAGGGCCTTCTCGTGTCCGAGATGGGAGCAGATAGGATGTTCTTCTTTCTTGCTCTTTCTTTCTTGCTTTCTTGCTATTTATTTCTTTCTCCTTTTGAGAAAGGGTCTTGAGTTCAGCTTGGCCTTTAAGCTCATTTTGTAGCCCAGGCTGTTTTCAAACTTACAACAATCTTGCTGCCTCAGTCCTGAGTGCTGGGCCAACAGGTGTGCCCTCCACACCCAACTATTGTTTTTAAAACACAGTCTCAGGGGCCAGAGAGATGGCTCAGTGGAATAAGTGCTTCCCTGGCAAGCACAAGGGCCTGAGTTCAATTCCCGGTTCCGCCAAAAAACAAAACAAGAAAACACAGTCTCACTCTGTCACTCAGGCAGAACTCATGGTGATCCTCCTGCCTAAGCCACCTGAATCCTGGGATCATGGATCTGGGCCCCTTGTCTAGTGGATAGGACTTGTTTCTTGCATAGAAAGGATCTGGCTCTGTATTTCAGGCTGGCCTTGAACTTGTGGTGACGCTCCTGCTTCTGCCTCAGGAGTACTTGGATTACAGCTGTGTGCCACCATACACCCAGTCAGATAGGATTTTTTTTTAATTTATTTATTTATTTATTTATTTATGTATTTAGTGTGTGTGTGTGTGTGTGTGTGTGTGTGTGTGTGGCCAGCTCAGACCACCAGGGGGCAGGGCTGGCTGGCATGTGGTGCTGGGGATTGAACCGCGGTCGCTGTGCTTTTGCTTAGCTTAGCTTGTTCTAAGTAGGTGCTTTAGACCACCGAGCCATCTCACCAGCCCCAGATAGGATTTTTTAAACCAGCTTTTCTGTCAGGGCAGGGGGCCAGTGGAGCCCAACGCCTTCAGCATGGTAACCAGCACCAGAGCCCAGCTTTAAGCAGTGCTTTCTTAGTAAGACGATAATGTAGTGTCAACCTTTTAAAAGTCACATGACTTATTAAAAATTTGTCCTGTGGGGGCTGGTGAAATAGCTCAGCAGACTAAGCGCCTGCTTAGGCAAGCTCTGGACCGGGGTTCAATCTCTTGAAACCAAATGCCATGCTGGCCCAGCCTTGGCCCCAGCCCCTGGTGCCCTGAGCTAGCCACTGAGACCAGGCATGGTGACGCACGCCTATAATCCCAGCACTGGGGAGACTAAAAATAGGAGGATCACTAGGAGTCTGAGCTGCATTAGTGAGACCCTGTACCAAATACATTATAAAAAAAAAAAAGAATTGTTAGGCCAGCCAGATAGCTCAGTGGATTAAAGCGCCTGCTTAGGCAGAGCACAGTGGCTGAGGTTTGATCCCCAGTGTGCCATGCCAGCTCTGCACCCAGGGCACGCTGAGTCGACTGAGACTGGGTATGGTGGTGCACGCCTGTAATCCCAGCACTTGGGAGGCTAAAAACAGGAGACTCACTAGGAGTCGGATCTACGTAATGAGACTCTGTAGACCCTGTACTAAATACATTAAAAAAAAAAAAAAAAATTGTCACATGGAGGTGTAGCTCAGTGGTGAGTGCTCAGCTAACACGCATGAGGCCAGATTCCAGCCCTTCCACACATGCCTGTCATCCCAGCGCTTGGGAGGCTGAGGTAGCAGGATTGCCACACAAGTTCAAGGCCTGCCTGGGCTACATAGCAAGACTTTGTCTCAAACAAAACAAAACAAATTTATACTTTTGTTATTTATTTTTTTGGCTTTTTAAAATGTATTTAGTACAGGGTCTATAGAGTCTCACTACAACGATCCGGCTCATAGTGATTCCTGTTTGCAGCCTCCCAAGTGCTGGGATTACAGGCGTGCGCCACCACGCCCAGTCTCATTCGCTGTCTCAGCAGGCCCTGGGAGCGGGAACTGCACGGCATGGGGATGGAACCCTGGTCCCTTAGTGCTTGCCTATGCAGGTGCTTTAATCTGCTGAGCTATCTGGCCGGCCCTCATACTGTTATTTTATTTTATTTTTTTAAAGATCTGAACTCAAGGCTGCTTTTTTTTTAAATTAATTAATTAATTTATTTATTTATTTATTGTGTGTGTGTGTG